CCCTGCGCTCACATCCCACCGGCTGCGAGCAAGGGATTGCGGAGGCCAGGTCATCCCCAGCACCATTCTGGGGGCTCAGCGTTGTCCCTCCTCCAGTGGCACCGTCACCCCGCTCACCCCTACTCCTCCTCGTGCCCCTGATGTCTGAGTCAAAACCTCTTACGGCCCATACGCCTCCCACCTCCTACCCCAGACACAACCAGAGGCCACAGCAATAAGGTGTCACCTCCGATGTCCCAGCGGGATGGGGTTTTCCAAGCCCTCGCAAGGGAACCATCGCTGCGAGTACCTGGAGGCACCACTGGAATCACAGCAGAAAAGGTAGGCAGTGATGGAGAGGAGGGACAGACGGACGGACGTGTAAAAGAAAACCTCTCTGAGCCTCTCGTCTTAACGGCGAGGACGGGGAGCAGCCCCGCAGAGCAAGGGAGATCAGCGAGGAGGCAGGAACACAAAATCAGTGGGTACGTGAACGGCGCGGTGCTTTGGGGAGTGAGAACATACTCCACTCCCGCAGCCTGGGCTGCTCTGGAGCAGGACCAGGCTCGAAGGAGAGCAGCTTCTCCGCCTCCCCAGCACCCCTCACGTCTCACAAGCACTAATTCCTATTCCATTTCAGTGTGGTGGCAGCACACTCAGCCCTGTAAATGAGACAAGATTTGCTTCTGAGTGGCTCTGGCTCCTCGCCTTTCCTTTGTGGAGATGGTCCCTTTTTCCTCCTCTCCCTCAAATCGTTGGATTTTTTCTTTTAATGACCTCCTTCTCCCTTACCACAACTAAAGGCTGCTCCCAAGAGCCAGCTGAGTGCATCGAACCATTAGCAAATTCTTCCTTCCAATGCAAGTAAATACATAAAAAGCCTAGTTTCTGTTTACAAAATATCCGTCCCTCATTAATAAAAATCAGATCAACTTCTACATAACAAATGACGTGTCCTGGAGCTGCTCTTAAGGCACACGGTACCGTTTGCCTCCTTATTTGGAAGGAGATGATGCAGCGAGTTTTCATAGCTATCCTCACCTTTTCTCTTGGGACAGGTAAGTTGAAGAGGGATGGAAAAGCTTTGAGGAATTCGCACCTATGCGAGAAGGGATTAACTATGTTTTTCATTAATTAATGCGGGTTAATGATGTTTTTCATACCCCGTCTGCTTTGGGAGCTCCCTCACAGGTTGACATCTCGCCCGGTCCTTTTCTGATCCAAGCGGAACGTTCTCTCTCGCAGGGGCTGCCCCGAGGTACGTCTGCACCTACTACGATGTTGTCGAGCACCTGAACATCTCCTCTCACAGCAAGCTGCACGCACACATCCTGCCCAAGACAAACTTGAAGGAGCCTCTGGAAGTGAAGACAGATTTGGTGTTGGTGTCTATCCTCTCTGTGGTAAGGACCCAAAAATCCCGGTGAGTCTTTGTAACAGGGAACTGGGCGACTGGGGTCCGAGGCTTCTACGCGGGGCTGGGGCCAGCGAGGCTACAGGTGGGAGAATCGGCCCTTTCCGTTTCTTCAGCGTTCTGCAGTTGGAAAGCATTTTTGGAAGATCTGGAGTATTTTCTCCCACCTAATTCCAGGAAAACACTTCAGAGGCAGGTTCAGACGAACAGCTCACTTCACGGCAGGCTCTAAAACCAACCCCGCGCAGCGCCTGAACCGAGCAACGCAGAGCCCTGGCACGTAGATGTTAACAACAGCCTTTTTTCAAACCTTTGGGTCATACGCTCCCACTCTTGCTTTCAGCTGTAGGACCCAGATCCTTGAGCTCTCCTCCTGAGCCAAGTTTCTGCAGCCTGTGCTGGGAAACATGGGAGAGCTCCCAGGCTCTGCACTCGAGGTAACTAAGAAAATCAGCTAAATATCTTCCCTGCTCTTTCTCCAGATCGAAAAGCTCCAGACGGTCACCTTTTACTTCGTGTTGAACCTGGTAGGTCCCTCGAGAGCATTTCTCTCCTGTGATGCTCAGCACGATGGCGGTGCCGAGCCCGGCACTCATTTCTCTCCTGCAACTTCTTCCCCCTCCAGGAGTGGAAAAACACTTTTGCAACTTGGGACCCACAGGATTTCTGTAACATTTCCGAAGTGGTTCTGCCTATGGATACGTACTGGTCTCCCCGCATCTTCATTTTAGAGCGGTAGGTTTCCCTTTCATTTTTGTTCACTGGCTTAATGGGTGCAAAGTGTTGGGAATATTGTAGGAAATGGGATGAAGCCATGTAGTTAAAAGCTGTTCCCCTGAACCATCTGTGACCAAGAACCTCACGGTTTAGATTAATGGTGACCACACTTTATACAAAACACATTGTGGCTCTGTAGTACTGTAACACCCCCAGAAATGCCCCCTCTGGGCTGCAGCAGAGGAAGCAGCAGGGACCAGCAACAAACTGGAATGAAAGGACAGGTAGCAGTTTCTCGTACGATAGAGGACAGACCCCCTGAGTCTGACAGAGGATGGGCAGTGCCTCTAGCTCTTTGCCTGGGGGTGAGGAAGGGGCAGCACAGCCCCTGCCTCAGGGGAGATGGGAGTTTCCTTAGGAGGTGCAGGAGGAAAACCAACTGCTTTGTGCCTGAGTTCAGCTACTACACACCTTAGCCCAGAGGCACTCACCAGCCTTTCTTCCAGCCCCAGGTTTCCTCTCCTCACTGCTACATCCCAGGGCTGGGTGACGGCAGAGAGACCCCCCCCAAAAGGGTGCTTACGGCATCCTCAGTCCTTGTGGGACTGAGGAGCATTGCAGCATCTTGGAGCTCAGTCGCTCTCCACCTTTGTTCTCTCCAGAGTGAACGGACAAAACTCAAACCTGGATTATCTGGCCATCATGCACAACGGCAGCTTCTATTCCACCCAGCCCTTCCAGGCTACCTTGACGTGCGGCTTGATGATCCTCAAGTTTCCCTTTGACACCCAGACCTGCAACTTGAGCATAGCTTGCTTTCTCTACCCAGGTACAGCAGCAAGCTGTTTTCCCACGGCGGGCTACGTTTGCAGGAGGAGGAGTAGATGGGATGCACCCTGGCTAACTCCTGGGTTCCCTTAGCACTGCAGGCTCATGCTTGGTTAGTGGGGTTGAGGTCATGTAACACCAGGGGAAACGAGTGAAACCACTGCCATTCTGCTTTGGCACGTTTCCCAGTAACATCTCTGGGAGCATCTGGATGTTCTGTGGCAGCAGGTCCCCCCGCCAGGACTCTGTACAAACCCAGAGACTAGCAGGCTTCCTGCAACAAGGCTGCGTGTTCACGCGTGATTCTGCAGGACTGATGTTTAAACACACCTGAAAGCTATGGAAATGAGAGGAAATTAAGGACAGTTTCAGGGACCCAAACTGCAGTCAGAGTTCATCCCAACAGGAAGGATTGAAAAATAAGCAGAAGTGACACGAAACCATCCAGTTCCCATCCGCAAAGGACGATTGTCCTAATTCATGAGACATTTTCCCTCTGATCCACATTCCCAGACGTTCAGCCAAGTCCCTTCACCACAGCCCTTTTTAATTTCTCCCTGATGGGCTAAGAAATCCCAGCGCTGCGAGAAACTTTGCCTTTCCCCACCTGCACACACCCTTGGTGGGGAGGGAAGAGGAGAGGGAGTAACTGACCTCTAAATACCTAAATTTACAACTTGTCTCCTCCTCGCCCTCCTGCCCAAGCAGTAACAGACCTTGTCATGAAGACAAGACGGACACCAGCTGAGATGATGAAAGACAGCCAGAGTTACTTCCTAACTGATGGAGAATGGAAGTTCACCAACTTGACCATCAATGAATACATAGAAGAGATGGATAACGGAAAATTTTCTGTGGTCACCTTCATGGTAAGGCAGTACTTTCATCTTATATCGCAGTGATTTGCCACCAAAATAAAAAGTATGAGACAAGGTCATTTTCTACATTAAAGAACAAGCTTTCACCCAGCACAGGAAGTTATCTCCTACTCATCTAAATCTTGTCCATCTTCTTCAACAGATTTCCATGAAGAGACGACCCACTCTGTATATCTTGAACCTGATCCTCCCAACGTGTGCCCTGTATCTGCTGGATATGGCTGTGCTCTTTGGACCCAGCTCTCTCGAGGAGAAAATCAATTTCCAGATTGCCATCATCCTTGGCAGCTCCATGTTAGCTGTGATTCTCAACAACATCCTTCCAACCTCCTCCAACAAACCACCCATAATAGGTACCCTCTTTATTGAGTAAACATGGATTTTTACATAGGTACCAACTCTAACTCCGAGGGCTGGAGCCCCTCTGCCATGGGGACAGGCTGAGAGTTGGGGGTGTTCAGCCTGGAGAAGAGAAGGCTCCGGGGAGACCTTATAGCACCTTCCAGTGCCTGGGGGGGCTACAAGAAAGCTGTGGGGGACTTTTTACAAGCGCCTGTAGTGACAGGACAAGGGTTTAAATTGACAGTGGGGAGGTGTAGATTGAGTATCAGGAAGAAATCCTTCCTGGAATGGGTGGGGAGGCACTGGGACAGGTTGCCCAGAGAAGCTGTGGATGCCCCATCCCTGGAAGTGTCCAAGGCCAGGCTGGATGAGGCTTGGAGCAACCTGGTCTAGTGGAAGGTGTCCCTGCCCATGGCAGGGGGGGGGAACTGGATGATCTTTAAGGTCCCTCCCAACCCAAACCGTACTGTGATTCTAAGCCAGGTCTTCAGCTGTTACAGATGTGTTTATGAATACTGAAGTCATGAACAGCTAAGCTTTATCAGCTTGCTGGAGTCAGAGATTTCCCTCCTTCCCCTGCAGGCAGGATTACATGCAAGAAAACGATGCCAACTATCAAGGGCTTGCTTTGTTTTTGTATCGTTCTGCAGTGGTGTTCTTCCTAGGCACCTTCCTGCTCATGATCATGGCAGTGTTAGACACCTTCTTCCTGCTGCACCAGCAGCGCAAATCCCTACGCCTAGACAAGGTGCTCAGAAGCTTCCAGCGAGGTAAAGCAACCCATAACCTCCTAAACGAGTAGGTTCGGTGCGTTTTACTGGCAGGTTCGTTTGAATGAGGGTGGGTTCCCTCAGGGCAACCAGTGGCCCAGGAAGTATCAGCCCCTGTAGTGCCCCCCACCCACCCTGTGCTGACGCACGCTCTTTGCAGACGCGCACGCCGAGCTGGCGAGGAGAGCCGTGAGCAACCAGACCGTGAGACACTTGGCCAAGGAAGGGGTCCCAAGAGGGCCAAGGACAAAGGGCAGCCAGCCAAGCCCCACCGTCAACCACAGCAGCAGGACCCATTTCTGCCCGTGCTGGAGAATGTGCTTCTCTACAGCCACTTCTTCCTGTCCCTGTTCTTCTTTGCTGTTATTTCTATAAAATGGAGCAGCTAGAGACCAGCTCTGCGCAGTGCTGGTTCAGTTCTTCTCCACTGTACTGCTTCTAGCCCCTCCACTGTAATTTATTTTTCCTGCTTGATTCATAGACCTGCGTTTCAGTCACCTAAATACAACACAAAATAAAATTAAAGAGACCAACCCCCTCCCAGGGCAAGAGATCTCATTCTTGGTACTTTGTGCTCTAATTTAGCAGAGCTATGTATGTTCCAAAAGGATTCTGTGGGCTAGCAAGGTGTTGGAATAAAACCATTGCGAGATCTGGGAAGGGTGGGGGGAGATACCTTCATTCCGTGTGTGTAACTCTTAGCACAAACACGACCAACAGAAAAAGGAGTTCGTGTCCTCCTTCTTTTCCGGAGATGTTTCCACCTGGGGAAAGGTGTTTAAGAATTCCCACTCCGATAATTAAATGAAACAATGCAACTCTGAGGTGTTTGCACTATTGTTTCTGTGAGTTTCAGCGAGATCCACATTCATTCACAAAGTCAGGGCAGAGAGAATCACAGGATCACCAGGATTAACGGGGCGATACTTGGGATGCCTTAAAAAAACTTAACAAAATGCATTTGGAAAATAAAAAATTTCAACACATCTACACTCCTTCAACTCCTCCTGCAACTGGCTGCCCCTAAACCAGCACAACCAGCCTAGAAAACAGCCCCAGACCCCAGACATAGCCCCCACTGCCGCGCAGAGCACTGAACACACCCCAGCATCTCAAAAGGCCGACACATTGAGATGCAGGCATCTCCTGCAGGCAAGGAGTTGCTCAAGAGAACTACACCCCCTGCACCACGCGGTTCCAGAGGCGAACAGGCGGCTTATCTGCGTCGCAGAAGATGCAAGAGGACTCGGTGTGATCAACAGGTCTAGCTGGGATCTTGGCCCTTGCCACGCAAACCAGCTCACCGGTAGGAACGACAAAATCCAGGAAAAGCAGGCTGTTTGCAAGTTACCGTGTTGTTCCGCGTTTCTCAAAACCTCGCAACCTCACGTCTAAGCCACAGACAGGAAGGAAATCACTTTATTTGAAAGATTATAGAGCCTGAGAGTCGTCAGACAAACCGCTTCCAGACGCGTTTACAGATCAGCAATCGGTTTGTGGGGCCAGTACGGGTACTTCTCCTTGTCCAGTTTGGTTTCAGGGAAGGCTTCGTACAAGTCTTCCAATGTCATCTGCTCGAAGGGAATCATGTTTCTGAGCTTCTGAAGCTTGAAGTGAGAGCAGAGACAAACGCGTTACCAGTCGCTTGTCGGCAAGAAAGGGCAGAGCACACGCAAGAACGAGGTGCGTGCCAGGCTGGGTTAAAGAGCGCGTTCACTAGGCAGAGTGCAGACCTACCTGCTGCTCGTACTGGGCAATGCGAGCTCTGGAAGCCTGCACGTACTCCGCGATGCTCTTGGCCTGCGGGAAAGCAGAGGAGGTGGTGAATACGGCCATGACACAGTGACCTAGAGCAAACCTGCAACCCCAGCTCCAAGTTGGCGTTAAAATTCACCATCGCTACATAACATCGGGACAGAATCCCCACCAAATCCCAGATAGTCACACCCTTCCACACGCAGAGATCCTCTTGCTGAGCTGAAAGCCAGAGACACATGCAAAGACCAGAGCCATGCTCTGGCTCAGGCTGCCCTGCCTGTAGAGATGCAGACACAGGACATCCCTGGCACCCATTCCTATCCTCACCGAAGTCCGAGGCAACCCTGGCGTTAGGGAACAGTTTAAACACTCACAGCTTCCTGCTCCTGGGCATCAATTTGGGCAGTTTGTGTATCCACTGGCTCAGGAACCTTCAGTGCACTGAACTGTAAATTGAAAGAGAAAATTTTTAAAAGGCTGGTTTGACTGAAATAATCCTTCCCACCGCAGTCATTTTCCCTGGGAAGTGTTCCCTCCTTTCTTCCCAGGATACACTCACAACAGTGCAAGTTAACAACCTTTTGAAAAACAATGACTGCAGCTTGACCGTGTCCTTCACAAGCAGCGCTGCTCACCTGTGGGCTTAAGGCCACCACCAGGAGCCCCAATACTGCACACACCCACCACAGCAAAGCCCATCCCTTCGTAGAGAGCGACGCACAGATTCTAAGGAAGAAAGAACGTCTAACACCAAGGACTTAACGATATCCCAGACTTATTTCCCCCCAGACAAAGTTCCCAAACCCAGCTGAGGGCAGTGGGTCCTCCCAGGCTTGGGAGGCCCATTTTCCCAGCCTTAGTGACAACACGCGCCCTTCAGGAAAAGCCTCGCTCGTGCTCTCCGATCCCTGCTAATAAAGAGGATGGCAACGCCTGCAGGCACCACCCAGCTTGAGCGTTTCACAGCGGGCAGAGCCCCACTCGCCACCTTCTTCTGCTCAGCGAGTTAGAGAAATACTCTGACCATTTGCTTTAGGAGAGGCAGGCCCCAAATTCACTCCTACAGCCAGAATAATTTATCAAGCTTTCTTTCACCAACTTCCTCACCATACAGTGCCCCAGGCTTCCTCCTGAAAGATGGCATTAAAGTGACATCCAGTTGGAGCGAGTCCAGAGGAGGCCACGAAGATGATCAGAGGGCTGGAGCCCCTCTGCCATGATGAAAGGATGAGAAAATTGGGCTTGTTCAGCCTGGAGAAGAAAAGGCTCCAGGGAGACCTTATAGCACCTTCCAGTGCCTGAAGGGGCTACAAGGAAGCTGGGGG